AGATTATAGCGAGGCAACAAGTTTCCTGCAGTCCCTGGCTACAGAGAAATTCATTACTAAATACAATATGAAAGTGCATCCATCCGTTCTCAATCAGCGGCACAACACTTTACCATTCACTACATTTCATTCATTCTGCATCAGTTAATTTTACACTTCCTAGAGTTAACTATATTTCCCACAATCCTGCAGCCGACTGTTTTGGTCTTTGCACGGAACGACCAGGACCAGATCATAATCAGCTGCAATAACAATCACGATGCCGCCTCTGTATTCATCCTGAGCTTAATTACTCGCTGCCTGGCTTCTGTTTTCATGTCCGTTATTTTTTTTTATGCCGGGTTTGCATTGCATTGCGACCCCCAGATCTCATGGCACAACAAAGACACATAATTATCATCGTTTCACAATTAGACGCGTCCGACATAGCTCCTTAATTACAGTTCTATTGCCCGCTGCCGTGGCTCCCGAGATTTGGAAACACGCCTCGCACACAACAATAACCGACGTGTTTTTTAATGAGCCGTTCGTACGTTTTTGTGATGTGTGCAAACAAATAAAAGGCTCCATAGGATGACGCTTGTACAACTCTGTATCTGCTGACCAGGCAAAAGTACTGGTTTAAGTAAAAGTACTTAAGTAAAAGTATTGGTCACGTACTAAAAAATCGAATCTGGTAAAAGTACTTTAGTTTGCAGTCAATTACACTTTTAATAAATAATGCATGGACAATATGTTATTCTGTTTTCCAAGTTTCATACTGACTCCCACATTACATAAAGCAACTTAGAATCATTGCTAACCACAATGACTGAATGAACATAGCAGCATGGATGTCCACAATAGGATAATTAACGTAGAAATATGGCAACCCACGGTGAATGAATGAACTGAGAAGCATAGCCAACCACGATTAATGCATAAAATTAGAAGCATGGCTAACCACAATGAATGAATGAATGTAGCAGCACGGATAACCACAATAGGATAATTAACGTAGAAACATGGCAACCCACGGTGAATGAATGAACTGAGAATCATGGCTTACCACGATTAATTAATGAACATAGCATCATGGTTAACCACAATGAATACATTTACTTAGAAGCATGGCTAACCACAATGAATGAATGAACATAGCAGCATGGATGACCACAATGAGATAATTAACGTAGAAGCATGGCAACCCACGATGAATGAATGAACTGAGAAGCACGGCTAAATACAATTAATACATAAACTTAGAAGCATGGCTAACCACAATGCATGAATGAACACAGCAGCATAATTCAAACTCGTTTTTGAGTTTGAATCATGTACCATATTATAAAAAGTAATTGTTTTTGAATGATATGTTAGACAATTCTATGTAGTAACATTTGATAATAATGTTTTACGGATACGTCAAAATAAATTAACACTCAACTCAACACTCAACTAACTTAGAAGCAGCTCACGAGACCTTCTCATTAATATTTTAAATAAAAGCGAGTAAGGCCGTATGGAAGACCAAAAGACAGAATCAAAAGAATGAAAGATAACAGCTTTAATGACGTCCTCTAAACAATATACCGTGGAATCATTGGTGATCAAGTTTTGTGGGATTTTTTACTTTGACCGCGTACAAAAGTCTTGACACTTCCTGCTGCCGTACTTTCCAGCATCATTAGGAACACATTGTTACTCTCATTATTTGAGGTCATAACTGGCATTTTTTGGTATTCAGAGCCAGCGTTGCTTTTGCCGGTTTGAATACTGACCACTTCATTCCACTTGTCCAGTGACACATGCAGAGGGCAGGCTAATTTAGATTCCCTCACAGTTCTTTTGGGTCAAGACTCACAGAGCTTTATCTCGCCCCCAATTCTCTTTGTGGACACACTGGCTGGATTTATATTCTATAGCTTCCTATGTTTCCACCACGGCTGCATATAAATCCGTCTGCATATCCGGCTTCTATATATAAAGATTTCATTAAGGCGAATGAGATGTAAATTTGTGAAAAATGAACAGTCAGGCTGAGATAATGCGTCGCTTTGATTGCGTTGAAGTGGAAGTTACTGTGTGTGTTTTGTAATTTACTGTTTGAAGGTTCAAGGTTTGCTGGAAACAATATTTGTGTACGACACATCGATACATGATATTAGTGTAAAATATCCTCGCCAATTTGCTCCTACCGTTATGGAAAAACAATAATGTGTGGATATGTGATACTTATTGTAAGGCAGTTCTTGTGGACTTTTTCATTATTTTTACCGGGTTTTATTTTGCTATCTATTTGTTCTCTTGTTTGCAACTTTGGACCGTCTATTGTCTATACTTTTTCTTCCCGGCTTATTTTCAGTCCTGCATTTTGGGTTCCCTTTTAAATTTCACCTCAGGACATCAACACTTCTAGGGTCCTTACAAGGATGCACTAGCTTGACGGCATAACCCCCATCTTCCATAAACTCCACTGGCTCCCCATAAACTTCTGTAGTGACTGCAAAATCTGCCTCCTCACTCTCCAATGCAGCCAACGCTCCACAAGACCCGAAAGACCTCCTCACCTCACAGTCCACAGTGAGATCCCTCCGGTCCACAAACACCTATCATCTCAGCCAACGACCTGGCTCCACTGCTCTGTAATGCTTTTCCAGGAGATCTATCACAATCGGTTCATTGCTTTAAATGCACCTTCAAACATTATTATTATTATACTCAAATTATACGACCAATGTTATCCGCTACTGTTATCCACTACTGGGATGACCAGGGCGTTTCTGAGTGGAGTTTGCATGTTCTCCCCGTGTCTGCGTAGGTTTCCTCCGGGTACTCCGGTTTCCCCTACCACTAAAAATATGTACAATAGGTCTGGCATGCGCCTCTGCGACCCTGCTCCCATCTCTGTGTGGAGTGAGAGGACAAATGCCCAAAAATAACAATTGTAAACCGCTTTGTGACTCTGGTCTGTGAAATGCGCTATATAAATAAAGATTACTTACTTACTTACTACTTTAGTTGAATGTACCTAATTCACTTTTTGACTGGGTTTTCTTGTTTGACGTCATTCTATTCTGCTGGCTTTTGTCCAGGACTCACTTGAAAAAGAGGTTCTTAATTTCAATGGGACTTTCCTGGTCAAATAAAGGTTAAGATAAAGATATTTCTTTTGACCCTTTTCTAACATTGGCGCAGGCTAATTCTGTCTCTTCAAGAATACAGTCCTAATCAAATATATATTTATTAAACAAAAAAAACATGTAGAATGATTAATCTACTTAACAATGCTTGGGCAATACTTTATACAGAATATTGTGTTAACCAATCGATATTGTATCACTAATGTGTGCAACCAAGCCTTTCCATTCACTGTCTTTGATTTCCAAAAGCACACAGGGACACTGCTTTGGCGATAATACATTCTATTGTTCCAAACTTACAACTTATCAATGGCTCCAAATACCAGCTGTGATTTGGACAAACACATCCTTTCCATTTCCAATATCGTGATCCAGCTGCACAGTCCTCACTACGCACACGTACACACACACACACACACGCGCACACACCCGCATGAACGCACACACACCCGCATGAACGCACACACACGCACAGTCACACATACACTCTCCCTCCTCTCAGTTTTGGATGCTGTTAGAAATGAGACTGCCTGTTTCACACCCAGCCTGTGTCATTAGCAGCTTTTGGCCTAAACTCACCCCTCTCCTTCGCCAACGTGCCAGGGAGCCCAGTGAACTGCAAGCTTAATAGACTCCAGTGCACGTGTGTGAGTGGGTAGTCACGTAATTGTTTGCAACGTTGTGCTGAATTACCGCTTTTTTCTTTGCATTTCTGTAAAAACGGATCAGTGAGTGTGGGTGTTGTTTGCCTTCTGATGCAAGATCAACCGTTAAGATATATCGAGAAGTAGTGATTGTATAGTTTGAGTATGGGAGAAGGAACCTTTGCCGATATTTAGTATTAGAAACAACAGAACTGGGATGTTCACAAGGGGTTTTACTGCCGACATTTACTTTACATTCTCATCGAAAGAAACCTGTGCGCTTTTATGAGCTCTAAACTGTATCATTCAATATGTTTCATTCTGGAGGTGCTGCTTACCAAGAGCCAATCAATACATATTGAGATGTTCAAAATAAGTACTTCTTAGCGACCTATGGCACATTATATATTTGTAAATACTTAAAATAAAATGTTTCTGTTATGTGCTGTTTTCATTTTATTAATTGAATCAGGAAAATCCCATTAAAGGTCAAGAATCTCTTTTCTAAGGGTGTCAAGGGCCAAGAGGCTTTCACAACATCAATGCATTCAGTAAATTTATAAAAAGCATGCAAAAAATAATAACGTATGTCCATAACTGCATGTGAAATCCAAATTCCGTCATACTGTACCTTTGAAGCTAAGCAGGGCAGGGCCTGGTTAGTACTATGATGGGAGACCTCTGGGAACACCAGGTGCCACAGTGGGGTGGCTGCGGCTGTAAAGCGGCAAATAGTCGTTGTGTCTTTAGGCAAGACACTTTACCCACATTGCCCAGAATGAGTCTGATGTGTGTGAATGGTTGGTGGTGCTGATGCTTTGTTCTGTCACTGTGCCCCAGGGCAGCTCTGGCTACAGTAGTAGTTTATCACCTCTGTGTATGGAGTGAAAGCATAATGACATGTGAAGCGTCTTTGAGTATACAACTGAAGCATTATTATTATTATTGTCATTGATCGCATTGATGCTTTGCTGGCTCCTGGTTGTCCACACGATTTAGCGACGCAGTCTGCCTATTGTTGCCCAAGTCAACACAGCGTAATAGCATGTAGCATAATAAACATATCCCATATATTACTGCCCGGTGCCTTTTAATGCAGTCCCTCTCCCAAACAGCTCATGCCTCATTTGCAGAGGGCCATAAGCCGCCACGGAGCCTGCTGAGGCGGGGGAGGAGGGCAGCTGTGGGAGGATGTGACCATTAAGTCGGTTGACATTTTAAGTCAGTGTGGGAGATGCATGGCTCTGTTCTGACCGTGGCCGACATGTTTTAAATGAGATGTTACAGATGAACTTCACTTGTAAACAACCTGACACTGATATTTACCTCCCCGCGTCAGACAAAGAAGCTCTTATGCTAAAAGTCACACGCACAGTAGGAATACTCAAAGGATGTCTGTCATAGGGAAAATGATTGAGTTTGTAATTTGATAATGAGTTTTTATCACGTGGTTTTTGTATCATGCATTGTAAGGTCTCTTAAAGAAACTATTGTGTCATTTTCTCTCGCAATGGAGTGCAAACCAGTAATCAGTCCGATTCATTTAAATATGCAGGTTTACCAGCTTTATACAGTATGTTTTAAAAAAATAGAGCAAGTAAAGCATTATGTAGTTAAGTAAAAACAGTAAAAATGGAATAACAACAATAAATGGTTGATCATGTAACCATCCCAGCATAGGATTCTCCATGGAATTTCCCAATAGTATATCCTATAGGTGATTGAAGCTGATAATCAAACAGACTTTGCAAAGTATTGATGTATCTTCACCCTTAATAATAATAATATTCACAATCATTGCTATTTGCTTTAAGTATGAAAAGAAAATATCAGCTCCCTGTATTTGATCTGTGTTTCTTTAAGCCTGCAGGTCTTGAACCAAAGCCTATGAATTTCAAATATTATTATTGCATGCCAAAGTAAAATCAATACTCTACTGTAAATGCATTTCAGAAAGTTAAACTAGATATTCTAATTAAATGAAAATGTCTTTTTTTATCCAAAGCAACAAATGGATTAAAGTTATTGCGTCATAAAGATTTCGCCGTTTTGCCGATCAATTGAAATCACATTATGTCACCACCTCTCTATGGTATATGATCATTTGTTTGAGAAAATGGTCTTAATAACCCCCATCTAAGGCCTTTATGACTCATACATCCCTGAGGAGTGTTAGATCAGTTTGACTTTAAATATCGGGTGAGAAAAATGGTTGTATGTCATTTGGAGACGGTATTTAGTTTACGATTTTAGCCAGTTACACGCTTAGTTCCCCTGTGATAACTGTGGAACACTTTTGTTATGAGAATGATAGAACTGAAGTCTGGTTGGCATTAAATTTAAAAAGTCCCCTGGTCAACTTTCTTAGCTCACTCTTGCCAATTATTGAATAAGCTTTCCCACCGGATGGCCGACTTACCTAATATGAAATGTTGGGACAAATTTGGGGTATGGTTTTCCTGATTCATGGACAAATTTGGCCTGTGCAATACATTTAATTGCGTTTCAATAAAGGCAACCTGTTTGTGATCGCAATCTTTCAGGGTTCTCTCAGCTATATACAGTGGAGTAATACATCTTAAGTCCAAAAATGGTTCAATTAGACTCTTGCCACCATCTGCCTTCCTGGTTGGCATCAGCTGTCCGTCTAGCTCTTTGTTGCGTAACTCACCTTCATAAATTGGACGTCTTCCTAGAACTTTGTGAGTTGTTTTCTTATCGTGGACACCTCTGTGACCTGGATCTGTGGCTCACAACAACCAGTACTCACGCTCCAACCAGGGTAGCTGAACTTTAATTTCCGCGGCCATAAAAAAAAGGCCACAGGTGAATAGTGTGTTTTTTGTGTGCGCGAGTGTGTGTGTGTGTGTGTGTGTGCGCGGGTGTGACATTGCGCTGCCTTGTGATGAATCTGCCTCCATGTATTAAAGTCTACTGACCCTGGGCGGCTGGTTCTAGATCATTGCAATTGTAAAGATGCCCCCGCAGACAGCTAGGTCGATCATGACATTTACTAGCGTTCCACCTGCTGAGCAAATTTTTCACAGATATAAAAAAAAAAAAAGTGTTTGTCTTCCATGGGCACTGTATGTCTTCTTTTCCTCTAATTAAACAGACCTCGGGACTTCATGGTCTAACGAATGCTATTTCTATAAATGTGTTGATAGAATTTAGCGCTGTTCGTTGCTACGGAGATAGTTATATATTGTCTCAAGCGTGTGGAGAACCTTCAACCTTCAAAGCTTAAGGTTTGTGGAAAAGTTTCACACCAAACCGTGAAAATTAAGAATTAACAAACTTTCTGGCGAAACCTTTACGCCTACTTACACCATAACATATTTACACAAACAATTCTTTGATAATTAGTTTTGATGATTGTTTTGATGAAGTTTCGCTTGGCTTCTAATTCAACGTTGATAGAGTGGTTCTGCCCCGTGACTGCGTGAATAAATACTTGTCGTGGTGAAAGGTTTACACATAAACCAATACGCCCAAATTTATTGAAGCCAGAAAATGAAAAACTGCTGCTCGTAAATTTCCACGTAACACGGAAGGAGCGCACTCAAACCTGTATTTCTCGTCCAAACGCTCGGCTTATGAGTTATTAGTTTGCGGTATTAAAGAATCATCATGTGTCATACTGTAGGTGTATATTGTTTGTGTAGGTGTTATGGATGTTCTGGGGAATTTCAATGATTAAGGCAGTGAAATCCGTCCCAATAGGTTAGGAATATCTAATGCTTTGCCTCTTTTCCTCCATCTTGGTTAGTGCCTGGCATTGTCAGGGTTGTTGCTGTAAAGAGTATAGAAAAAAGCAAACTCAGACCACCTGCTAGACACATGCATTAATTTACTGTTTTCATCTTTGTAGAGTCTGGTTATATATTATTTATGAATGTATCTCATATAAAAAGCTGTAATGGACTCTTTATGAAGCTAGTGCCCTGTAGTTTTGGCCTCTGATGGCTCACTTACACTATTTTTCTGCGTGAATATTCTCTGCTCTCTGTTCATACTCCACAGTTAATCTCCACCTAGATAATTGACTCTAGGGTGACCAACTGGTTTTAATTTTGACATTTAACTGAAAATGAGATTTAGGGACCAGTAATAAAAGTCCAGGCAGAATACATATAAAATAACATATTCTGATCTTTTACATTTACGTTTATGTTTTATCTATAGCTGGCTGTATTAGAAATATAGACTTCTTGGTATTGAAGCATTTACAGCTACTTATACATTAAAATTTCCCCACTGTGGTACAAATAAATATGTATATATGTAGTGTAACGTTATATTCATAATGAACAGAAAGAAATGATGCCCCAGTCCTTTTCTTGCAATTTCATACATATTATCTTGGTCCCTTTGGTTGTAAGTTGTAAACTGCCATTTCCAAAGTGTGTATTATACCTGCTGAGCCGATAGCCGGAATCATTTAGAGCACAGAATAACAGACTTTTCTCTTTTGTCTCCCAGGTTCCATCGCGGTGACTATCACATCGACGTGTGCATAAACGACTACCTGGATGTGTACTGTCCTCACTACGAGGAGTCGGTTCCAGAGGAGCGGACGGAGCGGTACGTGCTCTACATGGTCAACTATGACGGCTACAGCACGTGCGACCACACGGCGAAGGGCTTCAAACGCTGGGAGTGCAACCGGCCCCACTCCCCCAACGGGCCACTGAAGTTCTCCGAGAAGTTCCAGCTCTTCACGCCCTTCTCCCTGGGCTTCGAGTTCAGACCGGGCAGAGAATACTACTATATCTGTGAGTATAGCTGGTTATGTCTGCAACTCCATCCCTGAGCTCTCAAGCCTGTCCACTCTAACTCAAACAAATGAAATTTTTTTAAGAACAGATTTTCACTATCCACTTGAGCTTTCAAAGGTTTCTCTCTATCACCAGGTAACTGTGCACACTGCCTTCTCACCCATCCACTACGATTAATATTTTCTACAGATGCAAAGATGTCCTCCATTTTCAGTGTGTAATCAAATGGTTTAGGTTTAGAGCACGGGTCTCCAACTTTTTTCCCTCCAGAGCTACTATTTTCACACTGGCAGACAGTTACTCCTTTTATACAGTTGACAAAATGTTGCGCTACAATGGATTGAGTAGTTGTTATCTTGATTGGAAACATTTTGACATTTTTAAAAGATAGGATAAGATAAGATAAGATAGATTGAAATGTATCCACTTCGGGACAAATAACAATGTCGATGTTGCACACATTACAGCAGAATATAAGAAAGGATAAAATAAGAGAACTCAGATTGCACACATCAAACAGGATCTATTACTTAACAGATAATAGATAACAAAAATTGAATAAAAAACTAAAGGAAATATATAATACATATAATAAAGTAAAATTTGAGCTATAATTGTACTTGGTTGAGGGATAGTACACTAGTGGGGTATAGTCAGCAGGAGGTATTTACAGATGCTTATAATGTGCTTTAGCAGCAGAGATGCAACCAAATGTACTATGTGTTTATTGGAAAAACTAATTTTAAGATCATCATGTCATCAAAATGTTTTCTAATCATGCCAAATTTGGGCCATTTCTAACTTTTTTTGTATCATTTTTCATTTGCGTCATGTTGTTCCCATCAAAGAATCCATCTATTGTTTATATTTACTACTTTATATCTACCGTAAGCTATAGGTTGGAGACCCATGGTTTAGAGTGACTGAATTGAATTGTACAGTTTCCATGAATGACATTGAAACACAAACTTTTCATTTTTGAGCAGGATCGTTTCAACAACTGGGAAAACAGGACTTACTCAAAATAATCAAAAAGTCAAAACCTTATGAGTTTCAATATCAGTCTTCTACAGTCACAGTGCATTCTACCCAAGAATCACATTATTATGGACTACAGGAAGCTGATCATCCACATGGAGCCATATACACACATACACACTAATTTATTCTTGAACGACAACTTTCTAAGCATGAAGGAATGGCATTTACAAAAGCCCAGACTTCGATGTTAAGAGTTTCACTTGTTACGTGGTCATTGAGCAAAGTATTGTCTGTCTGTCTTGAGTGATGATGATTCACATGTAAACAATGGGAAATAAAACATGTCGCTTTTATTAGTCTAAAAACAGCTCTATCTGGTCGCAGCGTTCCCCCAATATGTTTTTTGCTTATCTACAGATAGATAAGATAGATGGATAGATAGACTTTATTGATCCCCCATAGAAGAATTTCAGGTGTCCAGCAGCATAAAAACCTCCATCCAATCAAAGAAAAAACACACAATACTAAAAGTTATTTAGATGGGGATGAGACTTTTTCTGTTATATAAGTCTTGGGTTTTTTTTCTTCTTCTATGGAACAATACAAGCGGCATTACTAACAAAGTACTCATCAAGTGCTATGTTATTGGAAATACTTTTGATGGGCTTGGTGCATTGTGAAAGAAGCAATAGGACAACAAATGTCAATGCAACTGCAATTTACAAAAACAAACCAATAGAGCAGTGATACAGAAAGAATTGATTTTAGTTTTTGTGAGGTAATAATAATAATTCAAAGTCATTTAAGTAAGCAACATGCAAAATTAACTCTGTATAATAAGAGCTATAGTGTGACTGTGTCTTGTTTTGTTCAGCACTTTTTGTTGTCTTGTGTATACAAATACACCTGCCTTACCTAGCTATATTTCATCATATTCACAAAATGTTCATTTTGGCATTATATAAAGTGCAACAAGAGGCCTTTCTGACTCAATTTTTATATGAACAAGCACATATTGAATCCTACTTATATTGCACCTCATGTAAATCGTGTCTTATCTTCCCCCTAGCGCACACACACACACACACACACACACACACATTCACTCACATGTGCGCACACCAGCAATACCACTCTCCGCTCTCACATCTTGACTTGTGCGTTTTCAAAGTATCATTACTGGAACTCCTCACGCGGCGCTCATCGCTGTGGGAAAAACCTGCTCCTAAAATGGCAATGGAATTCACATGGGGTATCGCTAAATTGAGACAGTTTGAAAGTTATAGCCCCACTGCACCCAATACGCCTTTGTCGGAGATAAAAAAAGTATGTTCTTGCTATTTTATGTGTCCTTTTCGCTCATGTTTGTGGTTTGGTTGTCTAGTTCTTGGCGTCGGAACTGAGTCAAAAGCAGTTCATCTGAAGTTGAGGCCCAGGGGAAATTAGGTTTTATCAAAGCAAGGTGATGGAGTGGGATTGAGACCGCTTGCCTCTCCTCCCACTATGGACGGTTGAATATTCCAGAGATGGAGCAGTCACTGTCAGTAGGCGTAGCCACTTTTACAGACATTTGTCACAGTGTATTACCGATGCTAGCGAGGGGCAAAGAACAATGTCCGTGGGAGTCAAATGTAGCCCCTGTCCAAGTGTTATGACTTAAACAGCCGGGGAAACATAAAAGAAAAAAGATGGCTTCTTCACTGTCTGGTGGGCTGACTTTAACGTGCACTCAATGATAAGATTCCAGAAGTAAAAAATGTCATAAAAGTCTTCCTTGGCTTAAAGCAGCCATTGTTGGTTTATTGCTAACAGATTGCGTAGACCTTTTGAAGTTTTTTTGAAGTTTAAATGCCTTTCGGATAATAACGATACTAGTTAATGTGCGGAATCACAGTATGTGGATTTTTAGGATTTAATTTTTGTGTGTAATTTCTGATTTTATAGCTAACTTTTACAATTGACCCTAAAAGTTTCCATTCTGGCAAGCAACAATGTGTGAACGCAGACCAATACTTTCATTTAGAAGGCTTGATTTACATAAAAGTGAAAAGACTTTAGTTTAAGCCGCCAGGAATGGTCTCAATTCACATTATTAAGGAATTTGTAGCAGGTGCCGCAATATTTGTTTTGGGCGTATTAAGTGCCAATCTCCAAGGAAAATGTTTTATACAGTACAACGCTGTATGCAAGAATAGCTTTGCACAAGTGGGCAGGGTGTGACAAATGGCAGTTAAATATTTTAGAACTGAATTATATTATGTTCTTGACTTTTTTCTAAGAAAATTATAGGCTGGTTTCTGAGTTTTTTAGCTACTCGTCGATTAGCTTGGGCTCAAGGACACTTGTTTTAATGTCCTTCTCGGACCGACGCCATCTTTGTTGTTGTGGCTGGCGCAGGAAGTGACGTTCAGCCTTGTCACTTCTGATTGGATCGTTTGCATCATGACATAGGAGGGCGGGGCATCCATCAAACTGATTCCATATTTCTGCTAAATAGAACAGAAATTGAGTATGGGAAGAAAGGCCCAGGTTATTTTCAGGGCTTAAGATTGATGAAATATTCTGCTGTTTTTTCTGCAACAATACATTATTTGTAACCAATGCATCCTCTTTCCACTTTTTATGACCAAAACCCCCAATGGACTGCACCATGCCAGAGATATCAGAGGTCTTTAACCATTCTACACCCAGGACATGAAGGATTTCATTTTGATGACATCCTCACCAACCACAGAAACAGGTCCTGTCACCGTATTGGCAGGTGGACTAATGCTGCTCTAAAGTGTCCCCTAAAGAGGTTGTCCCTCATCCATCAGCGCCCATCTTGCTCCTGTACGCCGTGTGTATGTGAGGCATGGACACAATGGTGAAGGGAAATCACATGTCAAGACAACTTCATGGTAGATGACTTTAATATCCGCCACAGTAGCAGACGACGCTCAAATCATTCAATAGCCAATGAAGCCGCGGGCCACTAAACCAATACGGCACAGCGCAGCGGAATGGATGTGTGCATGGAAGCCCTGTTGGTCGCGATGTAATTTAATCCAGCCCTTAGGACAAGCATCTCTCAAAGGGAATCGAAAAAGAGGTGGAGAAGTAGAGTTTTGGAAATCTGGAAGAACCGCGTAACCCTTCGCTCACGCCTATCAAGATCCAAAATATTCACATTTGGTGTGGTGAATTAGATTCTTGGACACAAAACAGAGATACATATAAAAACAGAATGTCACTGTCTATTTACTGGTATGCAGCTCAAGACCTGCCTAGAACCAGGAAGTACAATCACATTAGTCCAGTCCTCAGGTCTCTGCACTGGCTTCCTGTGGCTCAGAGAATAGACTTTAAAACAGCTCTGCTTGTTACAAGTCACTCCATGGTCTCACTCCGAAGTACATCTGAGACATGTTTGGCCCATATGAATCAACTCGGACTCTGAGAAGCACAGGGACCAATCTCAAAATGAAAATGTCAGACAAGGTTTTCTGACAATGTTTAAATCAAGGTTAAAAACTGTTTTGTTTAGCTGTGCATACAATTGAAGGGTTTGATCTTCACTATTTTTAATCTACCGTAATTATGTATTATTGTTATGCCTTTGTTTCTGACATGTTTTGTATAGCACTTTGAGTTGCAAGGCAACAAATACACTTTCCTGCCTTGCCATGGTAGTAATCCAAAAAGTACATGTGAGCTATTTGAAAAGGCTTAAAAAAATAAATTAAAAAAATACATATATACAGTATATAAGAATAATAAGAAAGTGTTTCTGGTTGTACAAATGCTTCACAATAAGCCGAAATAGCGGTGGCCTTTAGTTGGATGAACAACATACAGTAGGTGCTAACTGGGCAGTGGTTTGTGGGCTGTCATTGATGTCAAACATAGATGCCTCCATGCTGAGAAAGGTTTTAGAAGGCTTTGCTTTTGGCAGGAACAGGATTGGCCCAGGTAGCTGTGGCCAACTCAGAGCACTTTGCAAAAGTGCTGCTGAAAGCCTGGATTCCACTGGATTG